AAATAAATATATTTGGATTCACGTGTGTACGTTCATGTGATTGTATGAGCTGTGCGTGTGTGTTTTCAGGTCGTTCAACCTCAAGAAAACGTAACACTGTGTTGCACAATCACACACATTTGGATTTAACATGCCTACGGGAAGTAGATATCTATAAAATACTAACTAGTGTCGAAACTTCCATATTCTCCTGATTAAGGAAATATATAGACCTAAACAACAAGCAGAAAGGAAACATTATTGCATTCTGTTTCCCCTGACTTCATCCCTTGCGCTTTCCTGTGTACGTGAGGATGACCCGATAACCCAGTGGATGTATGACGCCATCGCTGACGTCACTGCAATGGCGAAACTGTGACGTCACACTCCGGAGGCGGTTGGAATGTCCTTCAGTCTCTCTCCTGGCGGACGGAGACTTCACCTCTCTCGCTTTGCTTCACGGGCGAGGCTGGGGGGGGGGGGGGGGGGGGGAGGCTTGTCCGTGGTGTATAAGTGGGAAAGAAAAAAATGTTTTTATTATTTTTTATTTATTCTTATTTACTTATTTTATTTATTTATTTATCTTTATCGTTTTTAAATACTTTCTTCTTTATTTATTCATTTATTTCTTTATTTCTATTTTTTATCATTTTTTATTACAGACATTGGAATTTAAGTCAGTCTGCCTGCAAACGTTGCTACTTCAGTTATTCTCCAATAGTATTTCCAATTCGTATTTTTTCCTTTCTAATTTTTGACCTTCAGAGTAAGAGGGCGTTGCATACTGCAATGCATTCCTTTGCGTGACCCCACTGCACCACTCAAGAAATCATTACACGCACACACACACACACACACAGATATATGTGCGTGTGTATATATACATATAAAGAGAGAAAACTACAGGATTGGGACCATTTCATGGCGAAAAAAATGGTGTTAAAATTTGATCTAAATGTTGCAATGATCCTTACGAATAGCAACACACGCACATACCTAGGCAATCTCTGCACAATCTTGTTTTTACATTACATTTACGTCATCGCAACATTCTTTCGGACAACCTCAGTAGCACCACGCCCCTAACAGTGTAAGTTCATTCCGAGTACAGGGACAAATTAATTATCTGTGACTGGTTGTACTGTTAGCTACAGTACAACTATATGTGGAATCCAACTCTGTAACTGAACATAGACTTAGGATCGAAGATGATAACCACTTATA